GGCGGCGGCTAGAGAGGCCGGCGGCCGCAGGGAACGTGCACAGGGCGGGACCCGTGCCCCAGCCCTCGTAGCCATTTTAGGAGGAAACCCGGATTGCTCGCCTGGGGCGAGGCTTCAATTTCAATAACTTTATTAGTAACTTTATCCACAGAACAGCCCTACCGCCAGGGGCCCGGGGAGGAGGAAGCCTATCGCCAGAGGTGACTGGGACCGGGGCGCCCCCGGGCAGGGAGCGCGGGGATGCGCGGGAGTTCCCGCCTGCGGATTTCCTGGGCGGGGGGCGGCGAGGGGGCCTGGAGATTTGCGGGCGTTCCTGCGAGCCAGGGGGGACTGGGGGGGTCTCCCCGGAGCTCCGCTTCCATGGTGCCGGGATTCCCTTCCCAAGCGCAGGGGCGGGGCCGGAGGCGCCGCTGACGTGGTCGCTGGGGTGTTCCCCACCCGGTGTCGTTCCCCGCGACAGGTGGCCCCCGACTCGAGCTGCAGCCATGGGAAACACCACCAGCGACCGGGTGTCCGGGGAGCGGCACGGCGGCAAGGCTGCCCGCGCCGAAGGTGCTGGAGGCCATGCCCCGGGCAAGGAGCACAAGATCATGGTGGGGAGCACCGACGACCCCAGCGTCTTCAGCCTGCCCGACTCCAAGGTAGGCGTCCGCACGCCCCCGGTTGTGGGCGACGCTGCGGCGGGCTTGGTTTCCCGGCTCCTCCTCCCTTGCTTGGCTTTCTCATCGCAGCGAACTGGGTTACGGTTTTTTGAATTAAAGGGATTTTCCGGGGATGGAGGTGTTGGATGTTAATTCCTCTTGCGGCGCTGCCTCAAAATAGGAGAAAGAGGCGAAGTTCTTGTTTTCCTGATGTTCTGACTAATCTGTTGCCCACATTTTTAGGGTGGGAACAGTAGACACCTTATTCGTACCCCGTTCTCCTAACGCGCCCAGCTGCGCTCTTCTAAAGAGTTGCTGAATTTATAGGTTGTAAGCCCTGGTGGTAAACTTCAGAAGGTAGTTTGCCTGAGGCGCTGGCTGTAGGTGGCAGTTTCTCACATTTGTCCAGAGGTGACTAAAATAATTTCTTTTTCCTGAAAATTTATATGTATTTCAGTATCATTTTTGCCCTTACAGGATCGTTTTCCCCTTTGACATAGCTGTGAGCAGCGACCGCTTGCTTACTTGAATACTTGCTCCTAGTCTTGAGGATTAATGAAGGACATCATTTTGGTGGGCTGCTCAATTTTTGTCCCATGCTTGATAGTCGTGGTGGTTGAGTCTGTGCTGCTTTCACGCCCAGCTGCTTCTCCCGTGGGAGAGCAAATGATTCCAGGATTTCTACACTTCTCGGTGGTTACTTCAAAATGTTGCCGTGGCTGAAAACAACGACCCACAGATGCCCTGAAGACCTTGCTCTCCATTTCAAGGACTTTCAAGACTATGGCAATTTGTGTTCACTGGACAGAAAAGACAGATGGAGCTGACAGCAATGTGATTACCATCCTAATGTTTCTTATCACTTTTAGAGCTGTCAGCATTAAATACATTTAATTCCTCCATTGTAGGCTGACTGGGGTGAAACTGAAAAATGGAGGGATTGAGGAGATTGGGGTGTGTTTGATGTTTCTTATCACTTCATTACTTCCCACTAAACTGAGACATTAGAAGAGTAGATAATTATTTGCCACATTCGTAGCACATGAAATTTGAATTCCATGGTTTGTTTATTTTCTTGGCTCCTAACTTAGAACGTGATCACAGAGAGAGAAGTGAAAGTGATCAAAAGGAACATTTCTCGGGGTTTCTTCTCCATTCCTTTCTTCCTTCTTCTACTTCAGGAAGTCTTCCTCATCATTTGGGCTGTCTACCCAGCCATCTGAATTTAGTTCTTCAAAGCTTTCTGAAGGTGATCTGCCTCATTGTATTTTTACCCTTCTCCTACATTGATGACTCAGGATTTAAGACAGAGTATTCGTCAAACTGTGACTTGCAGTAATTGGTGTCCTGAGTAAAAGTCAGGTTGCTCTGTCTGAACGGGACCTATTTTGGATCATTCTTTCCCTCATCTCAGTCTTGCCATTTGTGAAATAAGAAAATTGGTGCAGATAATTCTTAAAGTCTTATTCAAATCTGAAAATTTATAGCTTCCAATCTATCTTCTTTCTCTTCCCTCAATATTTTATTTAAACATCTTCAAACTGTAGTTCTAATTCTTGTTTTGCCTCTTGTCCTAGGGGTTTTGCTGACTATTTAGCTTGGAGTAAACAATCTTTCTGCTACTCAGCTGTGTTCAGAAATGACATGTCATAATCAGAAGGGCTTTCCTCCAAAGCTAGGCATATTAATAGTTTATAGCTTTCAAATTCTAAACTGAAAATCCTAAGTCATAACAGTGACTAATAGAAACAGTGACAGTGGGGCCCACATTGCTTCCAATGCTAGCCTTCATCAGTGGACTAGTTCAAAGGTTCTCAGTCCTATTTGCACATTAGAATCACCTGGGATTTGTTTATTTTATGGAAAATTGGAAACATTTACAAAGTAGAGAGAACAGTATAATGAACTCTATGTACCTGTCACCCAGATTAAACAACGATCAAATCATGAATGAACATGTATCATCTATATCCCAATCCATGGCTCCCCACTCCAATTATTTTGAAGCAAATTCCAGACATTATGTTAAATATTATTTTATCTGTAACATTTTAGGATGTACTTCTAAAGATGATGTTTTGGGGTTTTTTTTTTTTTTTTCTGTGTTTATTTTAACATAATCACAGTATTATCATCTGGGAGGCTTTTCAAAAATAGATTTTGGGGGGGGGGTTCTGTGTTTATTTTAACATAATCACAGTATTATCATCTGGGAGGCTTTTCAAAAATAGATTCCTAAACCCTATATCTGAATCAGAATTTGAGGGTTATTCTTAGGCATATGTGAAAAGTCCTGTAATTCTAATGTAGCCAGTCAGGCAAGAGTGCATTGCCTTGAGAATATGGAGACCAAGCTTTTCTCTTAAGCCAATTCTTTATATAATGTGAAAGTGTCTTCAATTCTTTCTCCATTTACTTTGGATTTTGCTGCTACTGATGTCTCATACTGTAGTTTTGAAGAATAATTGAGAGACAGTAGGGAAGGCAAACTACCTCAATCATTTTGAAAAGAAAGCGCAAATGAATAAGTCTTCTTGTTTGTTTTTAACTCACATTATTTTATTTGGCAATATTTTCACTTAATACTGTACTTTCTTATTTACCTATTTACCAAAGTCACAAGCTAATTTAAAGCAGGGGTCAGCAAACTTTTTCTGTAAATGGTCAGATAAATATTTTAAATTTTGTGGACTATACAGTCTCTGTCACAACTACTCATTTCTGCCATGGTAGCATGAAAGCAGCTGTAAAAGGTAAACAAATAAGCGTAACTATTTTCCAATAAAACTTTATAAAAGCATCTGACCCATTGGCTGTAGTTTGCCAACTCCTGGTCTAAAGGATGGTGAGGAAAAGAAACTAAGTAAGGAGTTAATTTTTTCAGAATCTTACAAACCTTCTTTGATAATGGAACTGCTCTTGTTAAAGGAAGCTGTGTTTTTGATCTCTTTCTCTGAGGATCCAGTATTTTCATCCCTACTCCTAAAATAATTATTATAACCTGGCATAGATAAGCAAGTAAGATTTTATAACCACTTCTCAACTTTTAAGAAATCATTGATCTGGTTTTTGAATTTTTAATGTCCCTTATGTTTGTAACCTATTACCTAAAATAGAGTTTATGAATTACGTATGGATTTTGTTATCTCTAACTTTGATTACAGCTGATAATTGAGAGTTGTTCGTATTTGCCTGTGGAAAAATATATGGCTAACTTATCTTTTATACCATACTTTATTTTCACATTTTTCTTTTAAGAGGCACTCAGAAGCGTATTATAATCGCTTGCCTTTGAGTCAATCTGGTAATAGGAAGTTAGGGTTTTTTAAATTTTTTTATTTTTTTTTAAGGGAGGTCCTAAGGCTCTGAGCAAGTGAGTAATGTACGCAGACTCAGCAGTTAGGCTGTGATTTAGTCAGCACTTAAGCATAAGCCATTTGACCATTTTTAGTCCTACATGGTTCTGTTTCTGTAGTTTGTTCAAAATCTGATTTAGTTGCTAATTTTAGGGCTTATGTCCTTAGCCCAAGCCTAAGCACCTCTCTTTACCCTAGGGAGGAGAGTGACCTTTTAAGAATTCTTGGGTCACAACTTATTCTAGGGATGACCTACTCCTTCTTACAGCTCCCTGGGGACAAGGAATTTGTATCATGGCAGCAGGATTTGGAGGACTCTGTAAAGCCCACACAACAGGCCCGGCCCACTGTTATCCGCTGGTCTGAAGGAGGCAAGGAGGTCTTCATCTCTGGGTCCTTCAACAATTGGAGCGCCAAGATTCCACTGATTAAGAGGTGAAGACAAGTGACTTGGTTGGGTCTTCAGGGTCCAGGAATAGAGACCTGATTTCCCTTCTCAAAAGAGAGACCAGGCTGGTTTACTTTTCTGTGCCTGCTAAGGACTCTGTTTAGAACAGGCTGGTTTACTTTTCTGTGACCACTTACCATATCTGTGACTTATTTTTAAACTTCATTGCAAGTCAGAGATGTTTTTCCATTTAGACTATCACTGCCTCAGAGGGACTTACAACAGCTTTGTGGGTGCATTCTTTAGGACTGTGTTATACAAGTCCTTTCCATGCTGGTGGGAAGTTTTCTGTAACTGGCTGAGTCCTATTGCTCTGATTTCTGCACTAAAAGCAAAAGACATGTAAAGTTCTAGATAGCAATGTTATTTGTTGCATGCAAAGGAATAATGCATGGTAGATCATTTCCCAGAAAAGGCTCACCAAAATATGGAAAGAGTACCTTGAGGCACTTCTGTATCCTGAACCTACCTGTTATCTTATTTATACTTGTGAGGAATCTATTCTGCGAGCAAAATAGTTGTACTAAGGTGAATCATTTTGGGAGATTAATGTCTTCATTATTCTTTTACAGATATTGGTTAGGAATTAAAGTTGTTGGGACGGGTTTGCAAATACATGTCTAAGGTGATATAGAAAAGGAGAATGGATTTATAAATTATTTTTTATGTCAAGGGATAAAGTGGCTTAGGAATATGGGAGATCATTGGTATGATACTACAATTGCCACTTGGTTTTTACATTCTGTCTTCTAAAGGGAATTTGCTGTTTGACTTTCTGTTTTCTTCTATAGCCATAATGACTTTGTTGCCATCCTGGACCTCCCTGAGGGAGAGCACCAATACAAGTTCTTTGTGGATGGACAGTGGGTTCATGATCCCTCAGAGGTAAGGCCTTGATCTCTGAGGGTAGTCACTGACTTAGCAGATTCTCATTTTATCCATCATTGCTGTCAGGATTGATGGGCAGCAGCTCCCTAACACTGAATTTTTCTCTTGATAAAAGATGGAGTATGATCATTTTTAACTTTTACAAAAAGAATTAGGGTTGAAGTAAGGGTTGGATGGAAGAGACAGATTTGAAAAGGGGATTCAGTAATTTTTTCTATTCTCTGTTTCAGCCTGTGGTTACCAGTCAGCTTGGCACGATTAACAATTTGATCCATGTCAAGAAATCTGATTTTGAGGTGTTTGATGCTTTAAAGCTGGATTCTATGGAGAGCTCTGAGACATCTTGTCGAGGTAATTTTATAGTATTTGCTCTTTCTTGCTATCTTTCTTATAATGCTTGTTCCTTCTGAATCCTATATATATTTCCTTTTTTTTTTTTTTTTTTTTTTTTTTTTTTTTTTCGTGTCCGGCAACGGATAGCAACCCTCAGTGTCGTCCCCGCACCGGACCAGGACCAGCAACGGGATCGCAACCCTCGGCGTTGCCCCCGCGCCTCGCTCAGCCAGTGAGCGGGAACTGGTCTGTATGTGGGATCCGAACCCTCGGCGGGAGCGCCGCCGCACTTCCCAAGCGGCGCACTATAGCAGTGCGCCACCGGGCCAGCCCATGAATCCTATATATATTTCTAATGTAAACATTTAGTTTACCTTCTTTGGGCAAAAAACCTCTCAGTCTGGTGTATTCTATTTCAAATTTTTTTAACCAGAATCTGCACTAAGACATTTGTTTTGCATTGCAAACACACACACACACACACACACACACACACCAGTAACACAGGCCTCATGGTACAATATTTGCCTTTATTACGTGTGTGATGCACTCTCTTTTCTATTTTATCTTTTTTTTTTCATATTTCTTTTAATCTTTTATTATTGTATATATACCTCTTCCCCAATGTTCATTGCAGCACTCTTCACAATAGCCAAGAGCTGGAATCAGCCCAAATGTCCATCATCAGATGAGTGGATATGGAAAATGTGGTATATCTACACAATGGAATACTACTCAGCTATAAAAACGAATGAAATACTGCTATTTTATCTTTTGTAATCCACTAATGGGCTACAGCCTGTAGTTTGAAAAGCTATTTTTAGTAATATTTCAGGTTTTCCATTGACCTTTGGTGGTATCACCCAGTGGAGACTAGAGGTGTCTGCTTTGTCTTGTTAAGCTGCTTCAGCTTAATCTTGCCAGTTTGAGAACTCAGATGGCATTTCTACAGTTTTATGAGGCCCTAAAAGTGTGGCAGTCCTTGGGGGAAAAGGAGTTTAAAAAAAAACAAAACCCACAATTGTTTTGTACGTAATTTAAATTTTGCAAGGATTTGGTTAAAAGAAAAAAATTCCTTGGTAGAGGAAAAGACCTGTACATTTTTGTTTCCTTATTATTTTTTCCAAGGACTTCATCTCTACTTACATTTGCTATAGAACCAGAAGAATGTTTTGTTAACCACAATCATAATTACTGTTTTGTTACTATATTTTATTTTCTTTTGTTACTTTATAGTAAGAGCTATGACTGTCTAAAGAACTGTGCACTATATTACAGATGAGCACACTTCTCTCTTGTGAGTTCAAAACCTGACTCTGCTAAGTAATTTTGCTGTCATGGACAAGTTCCTCAACATTTGAGATTTTGAGTTCCTAACAGTAAAATCAGATGCTTAGACTGTCAGTGATTATCAGCTGAGGAGGTGCAGTTCTTTAAGTGGAGCATATTAGAATCTCAGAGCACAAGGGTGGCTTGTGCAGTTTTTAAAAGAATTATCAATAGTATAATAATTACCTGTTTAGGAAAATTTTAAAAATATTATTCATTATATAAGCTCAGAGAGTTAAGCTGGACATTCTTCTTGACTGGAGGCTGGGCAGTGATTTTAAAAGGTTTAAAAATACTGAATTAAATTATGAGGCTACTTTTTACTAAATTTTTGCATTATATGATTCTGGCAAAGCAACCAATGACTAATAGACATGTAATCATAAATTATAAAGAGAGATTAGCATACCTTTGATATTTCTGTCTTCCCTTTTTCACCCAGTGTCCCAGTCCACTGAAGTAAGGCTTAAAATACATTTTATTAGGAATCTTCAGATGATGGGTTTTAGCCTGCACTCATTTAACATCTAGCTGTGTGTGTGACTTTGGGCAAATCATTTAACAAATTAGTATTTATTTTTATCTGGCAAAAAGGAAATAAAAACTGTTCTATGTTCTTATCAAGGATGTTTTGTTGATCACGTGACAAAATAACCAAAAGTACTTTGAAAAGTTTCAAGTTCTACATATTTTTAAGATATTGTTTAATATCATAGTACTATCGTTACTTTTTTCCTCTTGCTGCATATATTTAGCTGAAACCTGAGTTCTTATAGCAAACTATTATCAAAATCTTTTTTACGGGGCCAGCCCGGTGGCGCACTGCTACAGTGCGCCACTTTTGGGAAGTGTGGCGGCGCTCCCGCCGAGGGTTCGGATCCCACATACAGACCGGCCGCTCACTGGCTGAGCGAGGTGTGGGAGCAACACCGAGGGTTGCGATCCCGTTGCCGGTCCCGGGCCGGTACGGGCGCGACACTGAGGGTTGCGATCCATTGCCCGTCACGAAAAAAAAAGACAAAAAGGAAAAAAAAAAATCTTTTTTACGAGAGTATAAAAACATTTTTTTAATTAAAAAAGTGATATCATAATATAGTTCTTTTCATTTTTGTATTTTTCCTTCTGTTCTTGTCTGCATACATTTTTTTGAGATATAATTTACATACCATAAAGTTTACCCTTTTAAAGTGTACAATTCATTAATTTTTAGTATATTCAGAGTTGTGCAGCCATCACTATCTAACTCCAGAGTGTGTTAATCACCCTAAAAAGAAATCCTGTACCCATTAGCAATTTCCATTCCCTCATCCCCTCAACTCCTGGCAACCACAAATCTACTTTCTGTTTTTTTGGATTTCAGTATTCTAGACATTTCATCTAAATAGAATCATATAATATGTGGTCTTTTGTGTCTGGCTTTAATTCAGCATGTTTTTAGGGTTAACCCATGTTATATGTAACATGTATCATACTTTGCTTTTTTTATGGCTGAATAGAATTCCATTGTATGGGCATACCATTTTGTTTATTCATTCATTAGTTGATAGACGTTTGGATTGTTTCCACCCTTTGGCTATTATGAATAGTGCTGTTATAAAAATTCCTGTACAAGTTTTTGTGTGGACATGTTTTCATTTCTCTTGGGTATATATCCAGGAGTCTAATTGCTGAGTCATAGGGTAACTTTATGTTTAACTTTTTGAGGAACTTCCAACTTTTCCAAAGTGGCTGAACTATTTTACATTACTGCTAGCAATGGGGATAGTATGAAGGTTCCAGTTTCTCCACATCTTTGCAAACACTCGTTTTGGTCTGTCTTTTTGATTATAGCCATCCTAGTATGAAGTGGTGTCTTATTGTGGTTTTGATTTGCATTTCTCTAATGACTACTGTGTACATTTTGTTGTTCTTGCTGCAATCATTGTGAAATAGGGCAAAGATTATTAATTTTCTTTTATGGATGAGGAAACTGACCATAGTGAAGGGATTTGTCCAAGTTCTTACAACTGATAAATGGCGTAGCTCCTCCTTGAGCCTGGGTCTTTGACCCCTCATCTCTTCTTCTGTCCCCCAAATCATGTTGCCATTTTGAAGAACTTCATGGCTTGTGTCCAGGATGACTTGGATTTTTCCTTTGGTAACCATACAGTTGTAGACCCAACATGTCACAAGTTTATGATCTATGACTTCTATCATATTTAATATTAACTGCCATGTATTGCTAGATTTTTCCATGCGTTCTTGTGGAATATACTAAAAAGCAAATGTACCTCACAGGGCCTGGTTTTCCAAAGTCTTGCAGTTTCAAATATTGACCTTGCGGAGGACTGGAAATTTTCCTCAGGCTATAAGTCTCTGGTGTAAGATAAAGAATTGTGGCACAGCAAGGTTGCTGGCTCAAAGACAGATTAGTTACTGACTGACATCTAAGTTGCTGGAAAATTGCTAGAGGGTGAAAGAATGTTTGCTAAAATCAAGCTTTTGTTAATTGCCTTACTGGAATGTCATCTGGCTTGTTTTACTGAAAGTTACCAGCCTGTGCTGTTAAACTGTAACCCCACCTATGTCTCTTCCTGTAACTTCCTGGTCTGGAAAGTAAATGCAGGAAGAGAACCTCAATTCGGCGTTAATTTCCCAAGAAAGGGTTGCCTCTTGCTGGAGGGTCCCAGGGAAGTTAACCACTTCGGGGCTTCTCACTGCTGTGAAGAGATGTGCTTTGAGTAATCCTTTGCATCTCCGTCACCCAGGGGAAGTGGGGTGACAAATCTGTGGGGGGTGAAGCAACACAAAGCAACACATTCTTACTAATTCTTCAATTTTCCCTCATATTTGCATAAATATCTTTCAGACCTTTCCAGCTCACCCCCAGGGCCTTATGGTCAAGAAATGTATGTGTTTCGATCTGAGGAGAGATTCAAATCTCCACCCATCCTTCCTCCTCACCTACTCCAAGTTATTCTTAACAAGGACACTAATATTTCTGTGAGTATCCTGAGAGTATTGCTGGGACATCTGTGGGTCTCTAGTACCATTCAGGCCAAAGTTCAGTAATTCTAGAGGTTTGGGATTATTGTAAAGATATATTGAGTTTATAAAACATATACAACATATCAGTGACATTACAGAGTTTTTTTCCAGGCTGAGTTGTGGCTTCTTCAAGTGCTGATAACAAAATTTAAAGTTATCTCCTGGTCTTAATAAAATCAGGACCATCTATGAATTGCTAGAACCAATTTCTGGGACTTCTATTCCAATACAAGATAAGGAGTACTTATTATTGGGGATATACAAAATAATTATAAAAAGTTTTTTTTGCATGCAACTTATATTTCTATTCAGTCTAATAATAAATAATGTTAATAATTCTAAGATTGTTTTTGCCTCTTAACACAAATCTTCCATATGTGTCATGCGCAAGATTTTTGTTTTAGCCCTACTAAGGAAGATTAGTAGATTTTGAGGCTTAGGGTTTCTGCCTTGGACTGAGAATTTTTCTGATTTTTTGTAATGTGAATGTATTTTTAAAATATACTAAGGTGGGTGCATTATTTAAAAGAGATAATGTGTTTTAGTTTAGAGTTTCTCCATAGTCTCAAAGAGCTCTGAGGAAGAATAAACTGTCATCTGTCTGTGCATCTGATCCTGTTTAGTGATTTTTTTTCTTTCTTAGTGTGACCCAGCCTTACTCCCTGAGCCCAACCATGTTATGCTGAACCATCTTTATGCATTGTCCATTAAGGTAAGTGATGGCCTTGACTCTTCCCAGAACTCCACAAAATGAGAGGACAAGGGTGACAGATGTTCTCCAGTGATTACTTACTATGCTGTTTCATTGAAACTGAAGCTGGGAGTAATGCTCAAATTGTAGAACTTTCTTTTTTAACTAGTGGGTTGTCTGTTTTTAAATCTCAGTCTCTATATCTGTGTTCTGGCTAGCTCAATTGCCCTGTGATTGGATGGACTTTTTTGCTTCCCAGTTTCTTTTTGGGTGGATAGAACCTTTATACCACTTAAGTTTGAGTTCATAGCAGCAGTTTTCATTTGCAGAAAAGCAGGGTTAGCTTCCAGTTCAAAGAATGTTTAAATGTGATATTAAGCCTTCTATTTTTTTAAATGTGGAATCGAGCTACTATCAGGTGTCTCATTCATATATACCCAAGGGCTTGCATCTTTCCTATACATTAGGTAAAGGAGAAATGTGACAAGATCTGCCCTGTCCCCTCCAACTCTAGAGTCCTCCTTGGTTTTTGTGCTGCTTCAGTTTCTGGGTTGAAAATGTCTGTTCTGTTCTGTTTTGTCATGTCTTTGTGGTTTGGCTATTGGAATAAAGTTACATAGCTCTGTGGTTATCAAACTAGGCTGATCAGGAAGTTTGTGAACATACAGATTTAGCAGCTCCTTCCCCAGAGATTCTGAATAAGTGCATCGAGGATGGGCCCCAGTAATTTTTTTTTAAGCTGCTTATATTCCTTAGATGTGCAGCTAGATTAGGGAAATCACTGATACAGCTGACTTTAACAGATTATGTGGTAATATATAAAATTTAAGAATATAGTATTAATTTTTATAATAACCTTGTGAGATAAGTATTATTTTTAACCCCTGTCTTATAGATAAAGAAACTAAGGCTCAGAGAAGGTCAATTGCCAGTAAGTACCAGACACAGGCTGGAGGTTCAGTCCTCTTATCCTAATTCTGTGTTCTTGGCCGTACAGCAGCTTTCCTATATATCATTGTACCGGGTCTTTCAAAGTAGATCGTTCTCTCACCTGCTTCTCATTTCTATGAAACCTTTCTTGGAATTGAATTTTTTTATCTGCCTTGTCTCCGTTTATCAGCATACTCTGGTCACAAAATGTTAACCTGAGAAGCATTCATTGTGGATAATACGGTACAGGGGAAAGTAGGAAGATACGCTGGTTTCTAAATTGGATTTCCTCGGGTTCTTTGGAATCTGGTTGAATTTTGCGTCCTATAGCTGCTCCTTGGCTGTCAGCTGATGCCCACAGGCCTGTTATCTCTTCCTACGGTACATCTGTGATCTGTAACAAAGCTTGGGAAATGGTACCTCTTACTCTGTTCCTACTGGTTCTGACCCAGGTGAAGGTCTTGGTTATATTGGTTCAGCTTGGCTTTGACCCATTCATGGTTCTCTCATATTGTTTAGGCTGTTTGGGATTGATCCATTGGATTGAGTGTCTTTCTAAGGAGGATCTAGGGGTCCACTGTGTTTAAGGATAGAGGGGGATTCCTAGTTTCCCTGTGGATCAGAGAGGACTTTTTGAATTCATCTCTGCTATTACATGGAAATTAGACCTGCTTCGAGGCTTGGAAATGGTTTTTTAGAAGGATCATTTCCCTTTTTTCTCATTGCATTTAAGACTTCCTTTTAGAAATGGATGCCAGGATATATTTCTTTATTTTTTTCTTTACTAGTTTTAAGCCCAATATTAGAATTTAAAATGGGGAAGAAAGTGAGGAAGGAGACTAAATATTTCTTCAGTACCTTTTATGTGTCAGGGACTGACTGTGCCAGATATTCTCATGTGATCATCAGAGCCACCTTAATGATAGGTGTTATCCTTTGTAATGATGAGAAAAATAAAATTAGAGACATTAAGTAGATTACCCAATGCCACAGATAGAATAATGATAGGAGTCAGGATTGGAACTGAAGCTGATTTGACCCCCAAAGCAACCTCTTTCTATTCTGTCAAACTGTCTCTGTCCAAAGTGAGTGACTGTGAAGGACTGATGGCTGGGGAGAACTGCCTACTGCTTGAACTCATGAGTTAGCTGCATATGTTGTTTTCCCTTGCAGGACAGTGTGATGGTCCTTAGTGCAACCCATCGCTACAAGAAGAAGTATGTCACTACTCTGCTGTACAAGCCCATCTGAAGGGATCCCTTCTTGCCTCCAAGGATTCAGGAGAAGTATCTTTCTTGCCTTTCTGGACTAAACCAGTCTTATCTGAGACTGGAAGGCTGATTTGCTTTGAGGCTGATATGTGTGTTTCAGAGCCTCTGAGTAGGATGCTCTGCTTTTGCAATTGATTGCAGATGAGAGCTTTATGAGTTTGTGGAATTTATTTTAAGAAAAAAATATATATATATATACATATAAGACGAAGGTTAATGGAAGCCTCCTAACTCCAGCTAGATGTATTCTCTCTGCCTGTGGGTACTCACAAAGACCTGTTTTAGGCTGTTGCAGTATATATATATATACATATAAGACGAAGGTTAATGGAAGCCTCCTAACCCCAGCTAGATGTATTCTCTCTGCCTGTGGGTACTCACAAAGACCTGTTTTAGGCTGTTGCAGGAATAACTATACAGGAAACTTTTTTCCTAAAATGAAAGAGCAGCAAACTCTTAGGATCCTTGTTGGGCAGAGACTCACTGCTACCTTGGCTTTCCAAGGGATGGACTTGTGCTAGACTGCTGCCTTCATACAGCTGCCTCATTGCAGGGGCAGCTTTTTTTTTGCATGGTTTCTGTATTCCCAGAATATGTGACACAATCTGTGATTTTTATATGATACTAGATACCCCACAAGAATACTTTTTTCCTCTCTTTCACATTCTTCCTTTAATAGCCTCCTTCAGATCCCATACCTCACCCCTCTCTAACATGAAACTCAATGGGTAAGTGACCCTTCTGAAGAGTTGTGTGAGACCTGTCCCACTTCAGAGACTAAGGCTGCCAGTAGATCTCCTTTTCAGCCTAGCACAGGCCCAGGTCATTTTGTTACTGCTTGTTTTAACTTCTACTAAAAAAAATATCACTCAGCATTATAAGAAAGGCAGCATGCAGAAGATCTACTTTTTTGTTTCAGTTTGGTGCCATAGCTTAGGCCATACTGGCACATACCCACAGGTTTCCCACTTGGGCTGGCCCTGCTTCCATCTTTTCTTTCTCAGAACAGATGGCACTGAAGGTAGGAGTGGAACCAGGGAAAACTTTCATGTCTTTCATTCTTGAAGGATTTTTATGTGCCTGCATTTTTCTTTAATGAAAAAAAAAACCCTTTCATTGGTCTTACGAGATTGTATTAGAGAAATTCAAGCTCTTGATAAATGGTTCTTAAGATTTTCTTTTCTAGACTAGCCCTCTACAGTCTTACACTAATATGGCCCACGTTGTGCACATTATTACACTAAACACTGCTCTAAATATAAGTACATTCAGGCTCATTTGATGCATCTGAAGGGTTCCCTCAACCTAAAAATTTGTCAGGCCAAGAAGCAAGAAAGCATCCCTGCAGTTCCCAACGACGAAAAGTATTGCTCTTTGCACTAAGTGTTAACAAGATCATTCTGCCTCTTCTTTTTAAAAGTGTTTGATGATTAAAGGGGTCACTGATTTCCATTTATGTACTGAAAAGTAGCTATTCAATCAACTCTTGGGATTCAGAGATAAAACACTTTTTTCCAAGTATCTGTGGCTCTTCCATTTTACAAATAAATGGAAGTTAAACATTCGGCACTGAAGGAGGCCAACCTGTTGATGATTAAGAGACTCCTTGACTGCTAGCATGAGCCCAGTCACATTGAGAGGGAACCTACAGGTCAGTTTAGCTACCTCCTGTCTTTCCTAGACAAAGCTACCAACACAGTTATCTCGGCTATGTAGACCTCTTGACCCAAGTGTGAGGCAATAAGTTGTGGCATTGTTGTGTAGCTGGGAATACAAATTATTAAGTGCTTTGGTAGTTAATTGCAGAGAGTAAATATTGCTTTAGCCTTCCAAGGCCATCTTCTGTAGCAAAAGGCTTTTGTGGAGGACCTTTTATGGTCCCAATCACTTTTAAGTGCTTTGGTAGTTAATTGCAGAGAGTAAATATTGCTTTAGCCATCCAAGGCCATCTTCTGTAGCAAAAGGCTTTTGTGGAGGACCTTTTATGGTCCCAATCACTTTTTGAATGGTGTGCCATTTAAAAAATGTAGGCCAAATCCTGTTACAACCAACTGTCAGGATCTACGTAGTTTTCAATTGTACTAGAATTTTGTTTTCATCTAATACCCATTAAATAAGAGGGCCACTTAGGAGGATTCAAAATCTTGGTTATTACATGGAAGATTTTGTTGTACTCATTTTTTGTCAACAGTGTTGAAATGTAATTATCTATGTGTCCATGTGTTAAAATTTTTACTCCACTCAGATGTAGAGTGGGGCAGGAACAGAGATCTCTTCAATTTTTCTCAAGCCAAAGGCTTCTGTGATTTGGGTCTGGCTTTATGACAGTAGGTTTTGGTACTGGTGACCTTCAGATCTTTCTAATCCTAATCTGGAAATGAGCAGATAATGTCAGTTTCCCAAGTTAGGTAATCTTTTAGCCAGATATGAAATGGGAGCCTACCTACCAGCTGGTACGGAGGGGATGAGTAAGAGGATGTGGGTGATGACTCATTCACTGCTGTCCCGTTTCAATACTGCTCAGACTAGGATACTTCAAAAAGTTTGTGGGAAAAATAAGAAGATAATATGGATCTTTCCATGAACTTCTTGAAATACCCTTGTACATGGCCCTGAGAAGCCCTATCTCTTTCTGTCCCCAAGAAACTGTTTGGGAGGGAGGAAGGTAGCCCAAGTACAATTCACTAATCCTTTTGTATTGGTTAGTTAAAAAGGTAGTTTATTTCCTGCAGAAGACAGTTTGACAGTTTGAAAATGAGTAAAGGCAAACAAAACTTTTTTAGACTTTTTTTTTTTGCCTATAGGAATTTCACAGAGTCAAAGTTGGCAGAATAAGAAAAAAGCTCTTCAGGAGGGCTGACCCTTAAAGAACTGCAATATGGTTTTAAGGTTGTGGGGGAAAAGAAAGAAGAATGACTGAGCTGAGGAGTGATATTAGGAAAATAAAGGCTTAAGTAACCCAGAACTGAAAATATCCTCTTTTTAAAAAAATTAAATCAGACATAACATAGTGGTGTCCTTGGATTTCATTGTATAAAACTTAGCTGTATGTCAAAATCTTTCCTTTGCCTCTTGTTCCTATTCCCTTCCCTTTCCTCTCTATTCTGCCTCAAGTTCCTTTGTTAGGCCAACTTTATCAGAGTCTCAAGTCAAACATTACCTACAGTACATAGATTAGTCATCTTGCTGGTATGGAGAACTTCCATACCATGGTTATTAGCTTGCTTTAAGCTTAGAGTTGAATGGCATCTAACCATTGTAGGCAGCACCCGTAAATGGCATACCTAACCTCAGTTGTGTTGGCTTTTTTAACATATGCTTGTATGGCGGAGAAACTCTGTAAAAGAAGAATCCAAGAGAAGTTTCTGAGAGGATCCTATAAACCTAGGCCCACTCACTTTCCTCCAGTTATTTCATGTCTCTTGTAGAACTAATGGATTTGAGATAAACCTTTGAGAAGTGTCAGTATTCCATGTATGCTGCTAAAGTGAAATTAAGATTGGAGAGAAGTGATACCTCCAGACTGGGAGGTATTTATATTAATCTGGAATATAAATGAAGGAGATGTACTAATGATAGGATTCCCTGCTTTTAATTGGGGAAATAGGGCTTTTAAAATTTTGACCTCAACTAAAACATGATATGCAATAGTCTATGTTTGTATGCGTTTGAAATACATTCTTTCTCAGAGATTTCTGCTTCTTCATGCTCTAGTGATTTGGGGGCATGGGCTTAAGAGCAGGTATACAGTTCGTTCCTACATTATTCTGACTTATCTATAAAGTCAGATTTTTGCTTTCTTCTACCAGAGGCTGCTGACTCCAGTTGCTCATGGGGTGGAGGACCTGGGAGGTATAAGGGTCTTTCAAAACTCTATGGATCTAGGCATTTATGTCTCTATAAGTGCCAGTCACAGTTGGAGATTGAAAGACTGATTTCTGCAACGAACCGACACTTTTGGAGTAAAAAGCCAAGTCTTTTTTAAGTTATAAGGAAAAAGAAGAAAAAGAAAAATTCAAGTCTCTTACTTCTGGAATCCAATTCTTAGCAATGGAATCTCTCCAGGATTCTAATTTAGGCTTTGTCTTCGTTTGCTTTTCTCAGTTGTGCTTTGAAGTGAATAAGCTTCGTTAAAAATTAAATTTTTTTATTAGTTCCAACATTAGTTGGAATTCACTTGAATTAATTGTGAGTAGCACAGTACTTTTGCAGTAAGATTGGTGTGATAATAAATACTATGGATTTTGTAGGTGTCAGGTTAGTTAAGGGATACCAACATTAAGTGTTATATTAGGGATTGATCATCTTATTTCTTTTTTATTCCCCTCTACAGCTTATGATTGTAGGATAGTCAAAGCTCACTGTTGTTGACTAGTTCTAATCCCTGTACTGGGTCCCCCTATATGAGACTTGTCTGAAGTTTGGTAAATTGGAGGGTGATGGTTGGTATTACTTTGAAGCATTTTGAATGAGTGCAGCTTTATGTCTGTCGTAAAAGGGGAATATAATAAGACTACAATTTGAAGGGAATTAAATATGTGAGAGTCCTCTTTTAAATGGTGCTTTTTGTAACCTTCAGTGCTGAGATACAGAGCTGCTTTTCAGTTTTTCACAAAAAAATGGTGTACAAGTATGGATTTTAAAGCTTTTCTCTAAATGTAATGTGTCACTGGACTCTGACATGCCTGAAAATTATATGATGTAACACATCCAGAAATGTGGGTTTTTTTCCATAAAGCTGTTTAATAAAAGTATTATACAGCAATAAATTTGAGTTATTTACTGAATACTGATTATATTATCAAGATCTATGTGCCTTCGTAATCTCAGGACCTAAAGAATGTAAATTGTCAGACAGGTACCTTTGAATAAAGGGAGAAGTCATAGGTATAGGGGACACATGTAATGTCCTTCTGTTACTTTTCCTTTTCTGTTTGTTCCAGACTATGCCAGCATTAACTACAGAAATGCAAGCCCAATCAGTAATTTGACTTTTGGCATTTTCTTTGAACTGACCGTACATTTAGCTATTATCCTGTGCTGGACTAGCTGGGATCTTAGACCAGTGATTCTCATCAGTGTCTGCACATTCATATCACCTGTGGAGATTCTATAAACATATTGATGCCCAGTCTACTATCTTGACCATAATTAAATGGAAATTTCTTGTGTGGGGTCCAGGCATCTGTATTTTTTTAAGTTCCCCAGATGATTCAAGAGTACATACAGACTTGAAGACCACTGTCCTGGACCCTCTGTATATCTCTTTCT